TTTTGTGGTGTTGTAAGTGTCACTTACAACATCTGACTGGGAAACAAATTCACTCTGTGTTCGGCGTCACAGACTTGGGATTTTTCTTTGCGTGATGAGTTCCGACAGGGCTGATTTTTGCCAGAATTTTATCCGTCCGTTTTCTTCCGCTTCATCCGTTGCCGGGTCGCGGGGGCAGCAGTCTAAGCAGAGACGCCCAGACTTCCCTCTCATACACTTCCTCCAGCTCGTCCGGGGGGACCCCAAGGCGTTCCCAGGCCAGCTGAGAGACATAGTCCCTCCAGCGTGTCCTGGGTCTTCCCCGGGGTCTCCTCCTGGTGGGACCTGCCCGGAACACCTCCCCAGGGAGGCGTCCAGGAGGCATCCGGAACAGATGCCCGAGCCACCTCAACTGGTTCCTCTCGACGTGGAGAAGCATCGGCTCTACTCCGAGCTCCTCCCGTGTGACTGAGCTCCTCACCCTATCTCTAAGGGAGCAGCCACTCTGCGGAGGAAGCTCATTTCGACCGCTTGTATCCGCGATCTCGTTCTTTCGGTCATTACCCACAGCTCATGACCATAGGTGAGGGAGGGAACGAAGATTGACCGGTAAATCGAGAGCTTTGCCTTTCGGCTCAGCTCCCTCTTTACCACAATGGTCCGATACAGCTCTGACTGCAGACGCTGCTCCCTCTCCACCACAACGGTCCGATACAGTGACCCAAAATTTTATTATATATAAAAATATTTATCATAATATAAAAGTGTGAATCAGACAAACTGGTTTCTCATTTTTGAAAAAGGTTTATACATGCATGTGATGTAACCTCTGTAACCTTTGGAATATGCTATTGAAGTAGACAAAGATATAAAAAAATTGACTTCCAAATTGGCAGTCAAAATCCACTTGGTGTTAGGTACAAAAATGAATTTGAAGAAAACCTCATCAGCGAGTGGTAAAATATTGGAGACAGATTATGGTCTCAATTGGCTTCTTCATAACATACAATCTTTATTTGACCAAAATTCAATTTTTAAGTAATATTACAGGCAAGGCAAGGCAAGTTTATTTGTATAGCACAATTCATACACAAGGCAACTCAAAGTGCTGAACAAAACAAGAAAGCATAAAGCATAAATAATCACAGAACATTAAAAAGAAAGATAAAAGTATAAAATCCCTCAGTTGCAGCACAGCTAAACAGAACTGTCTTTATCCTGGTTTTAAACATTGTCAGAGAGGAGGCCTGTCTCACATCTTCAGGAAGACTGTTCCAGATTTTAGCAGCATGAATCTGAAAAGCAGCCTCCTTTTATTGTTGTTGCCCATAAAAAAATTATATAGAGACTATTTGCAGTGGAATAGTTTACCTCACTTGCACTTAGATGGACAGGACCTTTATTGATCCCAAAGGAGAAATGCAGGTGTCCAGCAAATGAAAAACACATCCATATAAACACATTTTTACATCAATTATAAACATTTCTAACTAACTACCTAACAATATTGCATGTTTTTAACTCATCCAGGTTTGTTGTACAGTCTGACAGCCATTCAGCAGCGCAGTGATATAAGCCTGTTGCTACGACTACTCCTCTGCACATGTTTTAGTGGTAGGGGAAACCGTAGAGCCCATAGGAAAACTGCACAGACACAGGGAGAACCTGCAAACTCCACACATTTGTACGCCTTGGCTTTTAACTCCAACTGAGTTTCATTGTTTTAACATTTTATTTTTTAACATTATATTTGCCAAAAATAATTTATGGCCAATAATTCTGTTTTAAAAGGCAAGAAACTGCTCTGAGCGTGACGTCACAGGGGTTGGATACATCTTACTATTTCAGGGGTGAGACAGGAGTTTTGGACAGACGTCATGCTTGTGATGACAGAACGATGTTGTAACTTGGTTAAAAGCTACTAAAAGCATGTCGCCTTTAAACAAATCCTTGTGCGGTAACTCTCCCAGTCTTCTCAGTTTAAATTGAAATACCTGCCAGCTTACCAGTATAAAGTGAGAGCCATAATGTAGGTCTGACTCCACTGTAAATCCTCTGGGATCCACGTGCATTATGAAGATGAATGCCTTGATTTACGTCATCTGTGCTTTCTGTCCATAACCGCATGACTGTCTGAGCCCACACTGTTCGCAGGAAATGAAATCCTACTGTGCGTCTAGCGACAACTGCTGAGGTGATCAGGCTTCTCTCGGCTGCTGTTGGAAAAACGCAAAAGTACGCTCCCCACAGGGCCGAACATATTTAAAAAAGAGACAAATTATACAAAATTGTCCTTGAGTTTTTAACCATTGTTTGCTTGTTAATAAACTTTCCAGTGGTTTGTTTTTGTACTCTTGTCTCAAACTGTGATATGCACACGATGATCCTGCCTTGTGCTCTGATTTATTATTATTACCATGTTTTATCCCCTTTTATAACATTGTTGTATAATAATGAGACCCGGATACTTAAAGCTGCTGTTACCCAGATATGAACTAATACCAGTGAAGGTTCATCATATCTCAAGTATCTGATAGAGGGGTTGATCTCTGGAATGTATGCACAGATGGATTTAAATCATGTAACTCACTTTACCAATTCAAAAATAAGTTTAATATTATCATTTTGGATAGCTACATGAACTCAGAATCCTGATGTTTATACAGTTGCTTGTACAAACATTTAACGTGTACATTCACATGTACATACGACACCTTTTCAGTCTTTCTGCTGTAAAGTTACTGCTCTGTAATGGTGTATATAAATATGCAAGAGACCAAAAAAATACCTTAATTAATTTAAGATAGCACTTCTCTCCCCACAAGTCTAAATTGGCATAACTACTGTCTGAATAAAACTTACACTCACTGTATGTGGCATGCTGGGCTAATATCAGCCAGTAAACAGCAGCTAAAAGCCTTCTCAAGATATTGACTGAACAAATATGGTCAACTGATCCAACATGTGTCTGACACAGTCTCGTATCAGTGTGTCCCTAGTCATAACCAATACTATGTCTCAGCAGTATGTTCAAGTGTCTAATCTCTTACACAATGGGGCTAGCAAGCAAAGAAGTGCAACTACTTGTATGTTCAAGTAGTTTTGAAGCTAAAGCAGAGGTTCAGACTGGAGAAACAACTGCTCTCAGTCCTCCCTCCTTTGCTGCGCTGCAACAGCTGTCAATCACACTCACCTAGTGGCTCTGTGCCGCCAACTCTCACCTGGCAGCATTTAGTAAGTAAGTAAGTAATCTTTATTTATATACCACCTTTTCACTGCAGATCTGAGTCTCAAAGCGGTTTACAATTGTTAATTTTGGGCATTTGTCTCTCACTCCACACAGAGATGGGAGGGGCCAGTACAGGAGGCACATGCTAGAACTATTGGACATATTTTTAGTGGTAGGGGAAAACTGAGTACCCGGAGGAAACCTACGCAGACACGGGGAAAACATGCAAACTCTACTCAGAAAGGCCCTTGTCCGACCGGGATTCGAACCCAGGACCTTCTTGCTGAGAGGCGAGAGTGCTATCCACTCAGCCACCGTGCCGCCCAAGCGTTTAGCACAGCTCTCATTGAGCTATCATACTGTGCAGAAAGCTTTCATCAGTTTTGCAACTTTAAATTGTGCAGAAACCCTCCTCCTCCACCCTTACTGCCTTGGCAGCTCTCTTAGCAGCTCTTTAACAATTCTTTTAGCTCCCACTACCGGGGACTAGGCCTCAGGGGACTTCATCACATAATCTCTATTTTAATTTCCCCTCTGCTTTCATCCATGCACTGCTAAGCTCCAAATCACGACCACACTTCATGTATAGCATGCAATAAATGTAATCCATGGGTGTAAGCTAATTTATGTTGTGACAAATAACAAAACACAGTTATATTAACCGCCTATTGCCTGTTTGAGTCTTTCCAGATTAACACACCTTTCTTTTATTAGAGTATTATTCAAAGATAACAAGTGTGGAAGTTTTATAACTTTTTATATGGACATAACAGTTACATTGAGCAGACAGAGGCACTGCGTTTGAGTGTGAGAGAATCTATGTTCAACAGTCGTCAAAGGTAGGATTTTCTTTTATCACTTGTTCCTTATCGTTGTGTTTGTTGAAGTCATGCAAGTTCATTCACCTCTAGAAAGTGACATGCTGCTGCTTTAAGACTATTTTACCACAACTGAACTAATTTCTCCACTAAATATGAAAGCCCTCTGAACATTAGATTTTCACATCCATTTAATTCAGCCAAATGAATTTTTGATAACGCCGTAATTACTGCCAACATAGAACTTGACGGGGGCGTGCGTAATTATTATGAAATAAACAAAGAGTTTAATCCCCTCTGGCTTCAACATCTTAACAATGCAATTAGTATTTTTGCAGATGTGTCAAAACCCAAAGTTCATTGCGGGTTTAAAAAGTGCTCATTTTTTAAACCCGCAATGTTGTATTAATAACTGCAGAACTTTTATTACGCTGGAGATTTACCATAACGCTTCAGAGTAATAATGTTGGATGTTAGCATTAAGTATTACAGGGAATGTACACAGTAGGCGTAAACAGCGCGTACGTGTTTACTGCGCGCTCTCTGCGCGTAACATTCTTTTGGAGTATCTACACAGGCCGTGCGCAGGTCTGCGTCTTCTGATGCTGTCCCTGTGTAGTCTCCTCCTGCTGATGTTTAGATACAAGTGCTGTGTGTGTGTAGATGTGATCTAAAGCCAAGGACCGCTAGAAAAGTCATGTGTTACATGAGATTTCAATGGGAGACGCGTTGGTGCGCACACAAAATTGGAAATCCATCCTAAATTAGAGCGCAGCTTCGCGTCATACGTCCGTCATACGCGCGTATAACGCTAGAAGTGTAAATATCATCATAGGTTAACATGGAAAAAAGTTAAGCGCGTCTGCTGCGCGTATAACGCGTACGTGCTGTAACGCGTGATGTGTAAATTAGCAGTTAGGATTGGAGTAATCACAATATGTATATGCAGTATTCGTGCAGTAGATTTGCTGGAGATGTGCAGTAGTATTCTCGCTAGAGTATTTGGTTGTGTGCACTCTCCTCAGGACCAGGAGCCACAGCTCGAAGCGTGCTCTTACGCTGTAAGTCTCAGCATCCACAGCTTTCAGTTGGTAGGACTCTAGTGCAGTGCTTATAGGATATATACCGTTTTCTTGTAGCTGAAGCTAATGTAAGTTGTAAATGATGACCAATTGACCAAGTGCAGTGAGTACTTGTGAAATGAGGCCAGAGCCAGTGCAGTGCAGTACAGAGCACATCATATTAGAGGTGCATTATCAGGTGCAAATCGGCAATTATCCGCATTGTAGTACCAAAAATGACTTTCCGTCATCATTTTGATTAGTCTGTTCACTTCCCACTTTTCCATTGTCCGTTTGGCATGACGATAGGACCCCTGAATCCTTTCATCTGCAACTGTCGACTGGTCTCCTCCAGCCCCCTCCCTGCCTAGGAGCTGCCCCGGTCCTCGTTCTACAGCCTGGGTCCTTAATCTGTAGCCTGTCCGTCCATAAACATCCATCCATCCATCCATTTTCTTCCGCTTCATCCGTTGCTGGGTCGCGGGGGCAGCAGTCTAAGCAGAGACGCCCAGACTTCCCTATCCACACACACTTCCTCCAGCTCGTCCGGGGGGACTCCAAGGCGTTCCCAGGCCAGCTGAGAGACATAGTCCCTCCAGTGTGTCCTGGGTCTTCCCCGGGGCCTCCTCCCGGTGGGACATGCCCGGAACACCTCCCCAGGGAGGCGTCCAGGAGGCATCCTGAACAGATGCCCGAGCCACCTCAACTGGTTCCTCTCGACGTGGAGTAGCCAACAATTTTCATAAAATATATATACATGTACATCAATAATAGTTTACTTTTATAGTTGATAATGCAGCACACATTTTGACACATTCTGTTTGGGTAAAACTTGGCACAGGTTCAAGCAGTAATTGAACCCAATTGTGCACCGAGAAAATCCTATGCATTTTAGAACATGTTTTCCGCGCTCTAAAATACAGGGTTTTGCACATCATAATCCTCCATGGAGCGAGAGTAAAATTATATTTTTTTATTATCCCGAGCTTTTGTGGTTTACTTTTCAATTTCAATGAATCATTCAGATTATATACACACAGCACCAGACTCGGCGAGAACCCCGCGCAACTGAAATCAGGCATTCCACTTGAAGCGGCAGGTAATGTATGTCGGGTTAGCCGCGGGCCCCGACGGCTCATCACAAATACAAGCCTAAAGCACTGTTGTTATTGACGGGTGACATTTTGGGTGAGGAAAAAAGAAAAAAAATCGACATCAAACGGCAGCTCTGGAGTGGCAGAGATCTAAGCGTGCAATTTGATTTGGTTTGCGAAGGGCCCGTAGCTACGTGGTTAGCAGCGAGCTTTAGAGCACGGAGTCAAATTAAAGTGTTTTTTTTTTTCATCAAGACTGGGAGAACACAACTCGGCCTGGGGGAGGAGTGCGGGGAGAATGCCAATGCTGTCTACTGTTGTATTCTGTACTTTTCACTCAAGGAGAGACCGTAATGCAAAGTCATCAAAACAGACCGCGAGTTGGTTTTATAGCTCTATCCACGTTAATCAGGATCGTCTGGCACATTCCTGTCCCCCCACCCCTTCTGTATAAATGCTTTTTTTTTTCAATTCGCACAAACTCACACAAACAAAACAAAAGGTACTGCTCTGTCAGGAAACCAAACTCGCAACCTTCTTTCTATGAGGCATAAGGTGAAAGGCTTTAATCACCTCATAGTCGGTAAATGTTGGCGCTGCATCGTACATTATAGTAGAATAGAAAAAAAACGCACACACACAGGCTGTTTTAAAGGCTTCTTTAGCTTTATGATTACATACACTTTTAAAATTAAATAAATATACCTTTGATCCTCTTTAGATATAAAATGTAACATTTAAAAGTAGGTTTTGCGAATAGTTAACCCTGCACCACATCCGTAAAAAGAAAACGTTTCCAGTCAAAAGAGCTTTTCACTGATTATATACCAGTTTATTCATCAAATTATTCCACATTCTAAAACCATCCATCCATCCATCCATTTTCTTCCGCTTCATCCGTTGCCGGGTCGCGGGGGCAGCAGTCTAAGCATTCTAAAACTATGAAAAGCCAAAGTAAATAAAATCCTAGCTCTCAAAACAGGTTCTATCCATGGTTTCCACATGCAAGTACATTTGGCCTCTGTCACATCTTCAGATATTCTTTTTCAGATCGAAACAAACCAACCCACACCATCAGCTCTGACCTCAAAGTAAGTAAGTAATATTTATATATGACATTTTACAGACCAAGATCACCTAAAGCGCTTTACGATGATGATGATGATTTTTCCATTTACTCCACACGGTGATGACGGAATTGTTTGTCAAAAAGTTACTGACCGGGCTCTTTCTTCAGGGTTCGTTCAGGGTCATAAAAAATCATACAATCATTGGATTCATTTATTAGGAGATAATACCTTAAACTTACTTAAATCTTGAAGTCTTCAAGAATGTTGATATTAGAATTTTACAATGTGTGCAGTATTTAACTTCTTTTTAACTTTTATTTTTCAAGAGTGGTGCGACGTGGTGCCCCTGGTTCAAACCACAAGACAAAAACAATGTTCACATTTGTTAATGAAGTAAATTAACAAAAAAGCTTTGCCGCAGGTCTGTGGAGTGGGAAATAGGTTTTGATTCTTAAAAACCTAAAACTGTGAAGAAGTCCTTTCTTGGATAAATAATCTAGTCTGATTTGTTCACAACATTTAACTTTTACAGTGCTCTTTCTGGGGGCGACAGTGGCTCAGTTGGTAGAGCATTAACCTTTGACAGCTCTGACTGCCACCCCCCGACCCAGAAATGGATTAAGGGGAAGGCGTGGGAGAGGAGGCGAGAGAGAGGAGGTGCGGGAGAAGAGGCGTGGGAGAGGAGGCGAGAGAGAGGAGGTGCGGGAGAAAAGGCGTGGGAGAGGAGGCGAGAGAGAGGAGGTGCGGGAGAAGAGGCGTGGGAGAGGAGGCGAGAGAGAGGAGGTGCGGGAGAAAAGGCGTGGGAGAGGAGGTGAGAGAGAGGAGGTGCGGGAGAAGAGGCGCGAAAGAGGAGGCGAGAGAGAGGAGGTGCGGGAGAAGAGGCGTGGGAGAGGAGGTGAGAGAGAGGAGGTGCGGGAGAAGAGGCGCGAGAGAGGAGGCGAGAGAGAGGAGGTACGGGAGAAGAGGCGCGAAAGAGGAGGCGAGAGAGAGGAGGTGCGGGAGAAGAGGCGCGAAAGAGGAGGCGAGAGAGAGGAGGTGCGGGAGAAGAGGCGTGGGAGAGGAGGCGAGAGAGAGGAGGTGCGGGAGAAGAGGCGTGGGAGAGGAGGCGAGAGAGAGGAGGTGCGGGAGAAGAGGCGCGAAAGAGGAGGCGAGAGAGAGGAGGTGCGGGAGAAGAGGCGCGAAAGAGGAGGCGAGAGAGAGGAGGTGCGGGAGAAGAGGCGCGAAAGAGGAGGCGAGAGAGAGGAGGTGCGGGAGAAGAGGCGTGGGAGAGGAGGCGAGAGAGAGGAGGTGCGGGAGAAGAGGCGTGGGAGAGGAGGCGAGAGAGAGGAGGTGCGGGAGAAGAGGCGCGAAAGAGGAGGCGAGAGAGAGGAGGTGCGAGAGAAGAGGCGCGGGAGAGGAGGCGAGAGAGAGGAGGTGCGGGAGAAGAGGCGAGAGAGAGGAGGTGTGAGAGAAGAGGCGCGGGAGAGGAGGCGAGAGAGAGGAGGTGCGGGAGAAGAGGCGAGAGAGAGGAGGTGCGGGAGAAGAGGCGCGAAAGAGGAGGCGAGAGAGAGGAGGTGCGGGAGAAGAGGCGTGGGAGAGGTGGCGAGAGAGAGGAGGTGCGGGAGAAGAGGCGTGGGAGAGGTGGCGAGAGAGAGGAGGTGCGGGAGAAGAGGCGTGGGAGAGGTGGCGAGAGAGAGGAGGTGCGGGAGAAGAGGCGCGAAAGAGGAGGCGAGAGAGAGGAGGTGCGGGAGAAGAGGCGTGGGAGAGGTGGCGAGAGAGAGGAGGTGCGGGAGAAGAGGCGCGAAAGAGGAGGCGAGAGAGAGGAGGTGCGGGAGAAGAGGCGCGGGAGAGGAGGCGAGAGAGAGGAGGTGCGGGAGAAGAGGCGCGAAAGAGGAGGCGAGAGAGAGGAGGTGCGGGAGAAGAGGCGTGGGAGAGGTGGCGAGAGAGAGGAGGTGCGGGAGAAGAGGCGTGGGAGAGGTGGCGAGAGAGAGGAGGTGCGGGAGAAGAGGCGCGAAAGAGGAGGCGAGAGAGAGGAGGTGCGGGAGAAGAGGCGTGGGAGAGGTGGCGAGAGAGAGGAGGTGCGGGAGAAGAGGCGCGAAAGAGGAGGCGAGAGAGAGGAGGTGCGGGAGAAGAGGCGCGGGAGAGGAGGCGAGAGAGAGGAGGTGCGGGAGAAGAGGCGCGGGAGAGGAGGCGAGAGAGATCTGATAAAAGCCCCTTCTGCAGGAGACCGAACAGAACATGAGTAGTGCTATACAACATGTCATAACCGTCCAAAGTTAAAGTTTAATACAATCCAGGAGCCTCAGATACAAAGGAAACATACAGGATACAGTTTTACATATCTAAAACATACAGGAGTCACTCAAAAATACATGTCGGAGAAAGCTTTTACAGTAAATGCCATGTAGATGACCAAACCAGCGCCTAAACTAAACACATTTCCATCTGCGATTACATTCTGCCAAATTTCAGCCATTTCCGCTGATGTAAACGTTCCCATTTTGCAATAAACGTGCAGCATTCAAAATCATAATCCGCGGCCGAAGATAGCGGTCATTTCCTAGTCAGCGCTGGAAATAATACTTTTTTCCCGTATCTCATATTTTTGCAGAACGGGCCAATATCACAACAGCCCGGAGGAACATGCATTTGTAAGCTCCACACTGGGTCTTATTAAAAGCGTGCAGTGTCCAGCCGGTGGGGGAAGCCTGCTGCATTGTGGCTGTGCACCGCGTGGTGTGATGACCCGATGATTTATTACCAACAAGGCAGAAAATATGAACACGTATAGTCTGGAAATAGCAAGGATGGATCTCACATTTTTCACTGCCATGTTGGGATATATAGTAAAGGAGGAGACGGTGGAGTGCTGTGTATGTCGGCCGCTGGAACTACTACTAACATTTTCTGCACAACTCAGCAGTATTGGATAGACACACGTGGGGTGTAATTATCAGTCCAGGTGCGGAACTGTTAAGTAAAACAGCTTGTGCGATTTTGGTTTACTTCTACACATATGATACAGTGCATACAGTGTTTGCAGAGTGTGAAGCGGCTGGGATGAGGATCTGCACCTCCAAATCCAAGGCCTGGAAAAAGGTGCCATGCCCTCTCCTGGTGGGTGGAGAGGTCCTTCCTCAAGTGGAGGAGTTGAAGTATCTCAGGGTCCTGTTCACGAGTGAGGGAAGGATGGAGAGTGAGATTGACAGACGGATTGGTGCAGCATGTGTAGTGATGCATTCGCTGTATCTGTTGTGGTGAAGAGGGAGCAGCGTCTGCAGTCAGAGCTGAATCAGACTCTTGTAGTGAAGAGGGAGCTGAGTTGAAAGGCAAAGTTCCCAATTTATTGCTCGATCTACGTTCCCTCCTTCACCTATGGTCATGAGCTTTGGGTAATAACCGAGAGGACGAGATCACAGATACAAGCTTCCTCTGCTGATTGGCTGGGTGCTCCCTTCGATAATGCCTCCTGGCTGGGGAAGGCCTCCTGGCTTGGGAAGGCCTCGGGATTCCCTCGGATGAGCTGGTGAAAGCGTGCATAGCAGTCTGGGCGTCTACTTAGACTGGTGCCCTCAGCAACCCGACAATGGATAAACCAGATTGATTGAAGCATTCAAAATGATTATGAGCCTACATACTTATTATCTTATCATTTAATGTAAAATAATATCCTAAGTGGAAAATAGATTGTGATTTCATGGACGACCTAAAGTTTGTGACTGGAGTGTAAAGGCATATGTCTTTCTTTTGCTTGCCAGTGCAGTTAAAATATCCTCTTGGCGATGCACTAAAGCTGTTTTGATTCCGATGGCAGTCTGGAAAAAATGTTTTGCAGTGAGTTTTATTCCCTCCCTGGTGGCTGGCTGCCTTTGGACAACACCACAATAGCTGCTTCTTTGTCTAAGCGAGGACTACAGCTCACTCAAGTATTCCCATGACCAAAAAGCACTGAATAATGGTCACGCAAACTTCAAAACAAATGCACCCCACCAACATATAAACTTTCAGCTGAAGATGTATTTATAATCAGTTTTCACCAAAATAGGCTTGTGTGGGAAGGTGGAATATATTGGAATTGGAGCAGTTTTGAGTCTTGCTGGCGTGAGTGGAGGATCCCCGTGGAATTTCTTACTAAAACATTGGAAGGCCTGAGTTTAGCAGCTCCAGAAAGAAAGAAAAACATGTAGTTAGACTTTCGAGCTGCCGGGACTTTTATGGTAAAGGCAAGAGTTGACTCCGGGTTAAAAAAAGCTGTCGATTATGTCATGCATGGTTTTTCTCAAAAGTGCATTTTCTGCTCGCAGCCAAAGGGCACTGCACAAGTTTCTCATGAACTTTAAAGTGCACATCTCAGGTCAGAATATACTTTTCACTACAGCACAGCTACAATCATTATCTTCATCATTAAATTCCAGTGTGGTTATTATTCACGCTTGTGATTTTACCTGTCAACCACTAGACTGGGCCAAAATGTTAAGTGTTACTATTCTGTCCTCACTATGGTGTCACACTACCAGGGCTAGACAGATAGCGAACAACAAAAGAGAGTCCGGTAGACCATGTAGAGACGTTAACTTTTACTTTTTGCTCCACACTTGTCTCTTTAAAGTTGTAAAACTGTACATAGAAACAAGTATCAATAAATTGTACCAAACAATGAGCTTCCAAAAGAAATGAATGAATATTACACAGTCAGTAAATGAAACACTACATCTTACATTTGTACTCGTGTAACACAGAAAAAACACATTTTTGTACTTCTGAACTTTAGATTGGAGCGTATGGCCTAGCTTAAAACAAAATGGAGCTAACACACAAAATTAGCAGTTAGAAAAGTAGTAAAAGAACTTCTCATTTTCTCAAATTCTTATTTGTACACATTTTTATCAAAAACCACACATCATACATCACTTACAAAGATGCCCCAAGGCTGAAAAACGGGTGTCTGAGTGAGCTGAACTGCACGTGAGCTGACCGTTGAATGACGAGTGTGCGGAAAAAAAACGAAACTTATATCCAAGTTGTCCACTAGAGGGCAGTATTCAAACTCGCCAAAAAAAACAATTTATAAAATGTACATAACAAAAAAAGGGTGTAACAGTACAGTTACATACATGTATTTATTCTAACTTGTATGTACAGTGTATGTCTTCTGCGGCTTTCTCGTTCCTGTATCAGCCTGATGCGCAAGATGGCGGACGCATTTGTTTGGAGCCTTTTTTGAGTTGCACATTTTTATGAGTTATTTTTAAAACTAAGTTTCTATCACTGTTTTTATTCGCCCTGCTCGACGGATTACGCGGATTTTAACAGACTGCATCAAAAAGGATTACTGTCACTTTTAACAGGACTGTCTATCAGCCTTTTACCGGTAACCACTACACATCACCATGGACACCGATGCTCCCCCCGCGAACTCATACAAACAGATATACAAATCACAACTTGCTTCAATCCTCCCATCAAAACCAGTAAACACCATGACCCCCGAGGAACTTCAGCGCACTGTCACAGAACTATCCACTGAACTCATACATAAAGAGAAACTTCTGGAACATTTCATGGACATATCATTCAAACAGTCACAGCAAATATCCCTCTCCGTACTCAGACACTCACAGCTCCACGACACTGCACTCTGGGATCCAATCGCCTGTCCTCAGCCCTCATCATGCTCTACCCCGGTGCTTACCTCACGCTTCCCGGTTGCGGTTGCTCCTGTCCCTCCCGGTGCTCTTCCCTCCTCTACGGTCCTGGAGCCTGCTGCCCATACCCGGAGCGGCGCGGAGCAGAGGCCTGGAGGCCACACGACATCCACGGTGTCCTCTCGCCGCAGGTTGGTGGAGGAGGCTGTGCGCAGACGCTCGGGGAGCTTCCCACGCTCTAAAACAGCGCGGGGCTCTCCGGGTGTCACGCAGGACCAACTGCGGGAAGCCCCGGGGGGATCTCTGTGCCCCGACGCGGCACCGGATACCCCCGGGAGCGCTGTCCCTGCTGTGGGAGGGTCCGTGTGCTCTGACGCGGGGGGAATCCCCAGAGACGGGACACGAAGCAGGTCCTACGCTGAGGTGGCCGCGAGGGGGCCTCTGCGCTCTGGCACGGTGCAGAGTCCTCCCGTAGTTGCTGCCTCGCCCGCGGGGGAGTCTTTGCGCTCAATTTCGGCGCGGAGCTCCCCCGCGGAGGCTGTCTCGCCTGCTGGAGGATCTCTCCGCCCGGTCCATGGCCCTCCCACAACCGCCCGCACTACCACCACCACCAACCCCGCTGCAGGGGCGCCGGCTCGGTCTCCGGCTCCATCCTCCTGCTCCACTGCGGCTCACGGGGCTCGCAGCAGCTCTGCTCCGGGCGCATCCCAACGCTCTCCTGTCCCCTGCTCTCCCCCGGGCCCTACTCCAGTCACACCCCCCCCTCCACGACCTCTATTCGCACCAACTACACTCCTGGTGGGGGACTCTATCATCAAACACTGTAAGTTCTTCAATGCCATCACGCACTGCTTTTCCGGAGCCACTGTCCCTACCATCCTCACGAAACTACCCGCACTTCTACAGACAGCACCCCCCACAATAACCCGGATCATAATACATGTTGGTACAAATGACACTTCACTTCGCCAAACTGAAACCACCAAACTCCATTTCAAGGACCTTTTTAACCTTTTATTGAAATCCGGCAAAAGTGTTTTTATCTCTGGCCCTCTGCCCACTTTGAACTGGGGCGTGGAACGTTTTAGCAGGATATTATCACTCAACACTTGGCTTCAAAACTCATCACAACAGCACAACTTTGGTTTTATTGACAATTTTAATCTGTTCTGGAACCGCCACCCCTTCTTCACACCCGATGGACTCCATATCAATAAACTCGGCACCCGGTACCTGATTTCAAACATCACCCACTCAGTCCAATCCCGTCCCCCGCACCTCTGACGATTCACCACTCCATCCCACATCATTCCTGCCCCTCTGGACTCCAACATCGGTCCCTGCTCCCCCCCCCTCCAGCAAGGAATTTCAGTTCTGTCCAGACCCCGCCCCTACAGACCGCCCATAATCCGGAAACCGTCCCTCAACACCCTCATCCCTGTTGCCCTTTGCTCCTCCACATCTTCTTCTCCCCTCACCACAAACAAAAATGACTCTCCATCCACCATCAGGTTTGCTCTTTTAAATGTACGCTCTCTTTTAAATAAGACTTTTACTGTAAACGATTTGATTTTAGAACACGAACTGGATGGTATGTTTTT